ACGACGGAGACCTAAGCAGAGGGATCTGGTGCCTCCCGCCCCAACGCCTGTGGCAATGCAGTGGTGTGCTGGTGCAAGCTGGCAACTGAGGATTTGGAGGGGATCTGGACTGCTTCAGGCTCCTTCCCTGGCTCCAGGCCTCTTTACTCTGCTCACTCCTGCCCTGTCCGCCTCACCTGAGCTCGCTGCTCCGGGGGACGCTGCTTGGCTGCCACGCACCTGTGTGCGTGCATGTGTGGGTGCGCAAGCACGTGCGTGTGCGAATGTGAATAAGTGAGGGTGTGTGTTCTGTGTGTGTGCAAGGATGAGCATTTGAGTTGGTGTGTCAGTGTGTCTTATGCATGCATGAACTCTGAATGTTGAAGTTGCTGCAAGTCACGAATCTGTGCTACCAAAATTGGTGTGGCCACCTTTCCCTCTGTCCACGTAGAAGGTATTCCAACTCCACCTCGGAAAGCCCCTCAGCAAGGAGCAGCCTGAGAACAGACAGTGAGGAGAACTCAGGCAGAGGAGCCTTGGAAAACGGGCTGCTCCCAGAGCCTGGGAGGGCAGTAGGGGGCCCCCAGAGCATATGTGGGAGGGGTGGGGGGATTCCCTGAGTTTTGCCTCAGTCTTGGTGTTAGTGTACCAGGCCACAGGCTCCCTGAGGCTTCAAGTCAAGGCCCCGTTCAGCCCTGTGGTCCCTGAGTTCTCCTTGGTGTCTGCTCTCTGGGGACTGTGGTGAGCAGAAGCACTTCAGCCCACACCTGTGTGCAGCAGGGGGCCCTTCCTCTCTCTTTCTGTCCAGCTTCATTTACTCCTAACCTCCATCTGTTCTCACACTGTAGGGGCCCCTTCTCAAGATTTGCATGCACCTGCAGGAATTTGGGAAGAAAGAGCATTTATTAGGCACTGTAGCCATTTGCATTGAAAACTGCCTGACCATTTCTTAAGCTCCTTGGTATAAGCTGTGGATGTGATATTTGATCTCAGCTACCTCATTACATGTTTTTTGGACAAGGTGTTTTTGTTGTTCTAGTCAACTCTGCTCTAGAGTTGAAACTGTTCAGTCAGGATGACTTTTGAAGCCAAAGGGAAAGCCTCAGTATCATTGAGCTAGTTAAAGTTTCTGATTTGGGCTCTAACACTGCGTTCTGGTGGATAAAATTCCACAGTCAGGCCATGAGAATATCTGAGGTTTGCAGCTCGCAACCCGGGATGGAGCCTACAATTCAGTGGTCTACTCCATTGTACCAACTCAGATTTCTGAAGTATGCAGAGCCACACGCATGAAAAAATAGACTAGATTCTGCGCTAAAATGATGTCACAACCAAATTTCTCTGAATCCCACCCCAGAACAAGCCTCTGAATAAAATGAGCAGTTTCCCCATGCGTGTAGCAGGTATATCAGAGGTGAGCTCGTTTGGAACCGAGAAGACAAAGTTGCACAATTCCAGCTCCAAAGGGACACGAGGGCATATAGAACCATCATCTACAGCTAAAATAATTTGCCTATGGAGTACATTTTACCCCCTTCAACCAGAAAGAAATGTAACTCTGCTAACAGCAAAAGCATTTAGAATATTAGCTTGATTGTTTAAGTATGTGTGCACATTTATGAACCTCTAACTGTATTCCCGTAGGTCTTGACATTTCGTTTTAATATTTGTTGCCACTAACGTTCTTTTTCACAGCCACACCAGGAATTCTGAAGTACTGGGCCTTTCTCAGAAGACTGTAATGTTCCTGGAGTTTCTGAAATATTGCAAAGCCACAGAATTTAGGCTGGTGCTGCCAAAAAAAGAAAAGCAACTTTACAGTTCATGTTTTAGCATCCGGCAATGATGTGTAAACGTCTTTGCTTTTCATTTTAAACTGTATATGTATGTGATCTTATAATATGTTGAGACTTGAGGCTATTCTTTAGCAAGAGAAAATATTTTTACCTTAACTTCACTGATGTGGCCATTTCTTTAACCTTACTTGGATGCCTGTAAAACCACCTCAAGAGCTCAATTGTGCTGTTTTGATTACTGTTCAGTAATCACAATCGCTTCTCATGAATAGCTACCCAAGGGGAACCCAGCCCCTGGGGACTGTGCCTCATAAACTCTGCTCACATGGTCTTAAATTCCCCAGCTTGGGAAATATTTCTGGGTGCGTGTGTGTGTCTTATCCATGGTTTGTGTTTTTTCCTGGTGGAATTTACCAAAAGCTACAGAATGTTGTTAATAAAGGGCATGTACCCAAGTTTCCCATCTCATGCCCAAGTTTCCCATCTCGTGGAATGTATTCATCCTTAGCCGAGGTGTGAAAGTTGAATGCATTTCTGCCTCTGAGCAATTACAAAAGCAAGGCTGAAGCCTGCTCCTGGCTTTATTTTAGAGATTGCTGTTTTCCTCCACAGAGGAGTACAGTGGATGCTAGGGAAGGGGCATTGATGTTTGCATGAAAGAAAAAATCGATCCTCAGTGTGAGATGGAAAAATGGGGATGTTAAGAGTCATGCTTTGCCTGTGCAGAGTAAAAACTAAATATCTGGCACCCCCTGGAAATTACTTTTATTTAACACAGAACCATACAGCTCAGGTACTCCATGAAGATTTGCCAAACACTGCTGAAAACAGGTATTCTGATTCCATATTCAACTTTTATTTATTTTCATTTACTGTAGGGTGTGTGTGTTCACCAGACAGAGATAAAGAGAAAGAGAGTGAATGTAAGAAAGCACCCTCTAGGGGGCATGCCCACACCTCATTCGCATCTCTTCCATTCTCCTCTCAGGATTTTGGGCACACACGTACATGCCTGGTGTGTTTTTCAAGCCCCCAGCTCTGAGACTCAATCAAAGCAATTGGCCATGTGAAATCAGCCACCTTAACTGCACAGCACAGGGGAGCCTCCAGCTTTTATTCTATCTTCCATGAGAGAGAGAGACAGAAAGACAGAGACCTCTGACAGGGTCTCCATGCCATGATCTACCCCCAGTCTGAGCTGGCCTGGTCACAGGCACATGACAATGCCTGCATACTCAGAACAGTGGATGCTAGGGACGGTGCTTTGATGTCTGCATGAAAGAAAAATCGATCCTCAGTGTGAGATGGAAAAATGGGGATGTTAAGATCATGCTTTGCCTGTGCAGAGTAGAAACCAAATATTTGGCACCCCCTGGAAATTACTATTATTTAATACAGAACCATACAGCCCCGCTACTCCATGAAGATTTTCCAATCACTATTGAAAACAGGAAGGCCCCAGGATGGAACCGGGGACCTTTCCCACATGGATCCAGTTGTACCTGCTGTGCATATTCAGCCTGTCATTTGAAAGAACATAAACCAACTTGAAAAGCAAGTTAAGCCTATTTTCCTTATCTAAATACTCCCGAGGAGGAAAGAAATTTAACCTTTTTGTTTGGTTGGTTTTTGTTTAATCTGTAGTTTTTCTATATGGCATGCGCACTTGCCATAGAGAGCTAGGGAGGGAGAAAAGGTGAGAAATCACCCCTCAGGAGGGATGGCCATGCTGCAGTCCCTTCTCCTTCAGTCTCCTCTTGGGGTTTCGGACATGCACGCACGCATGCTGGCATGATTTTCAAGCCACCAGGTCTGGGACTCAAACAGTTGGCCATGTGGAACCCAGCGCCTTAACCTCCACGCCATCTGCTGGCCCCAGAAATTTAACTTTTTACTGCAAGGATAAGTTTGGCACGCTTGACATAGGCTCTTGGGCTTTGTTTCTAATGCCCAGAAGCCTCTGATTCAGGTGAGGAGTCGGGTAAGAGGACTCTTGGCGCCAACAGAAGTCCAAATGCCTTTCTGACTCAGCGCACTCTCCTGGTATGACACAGGGAGTCCTGTCATAAGCGTCTCGTGAGTGTTTGCGCATGCCAGACCAAGGAGCTCCGGACATATCTCCTGAGTCCATCAATGAGAATACGTGGCTCTCACCTGTGCAAAAATATGAGGCAACGGCAAGAAAACCAAGTGTCCACTGACGGCCCCAATCCAAACATGGTCACCCATCTTTTAAGGCTGCTCCATTACTGTAAGGCCATTTCTGACACCAACACCAATCATCTAATAATTGTGTGCTCTGCAGGATGCAAACCCCTAAGTTTCATAAACCAGCAGAGAAAGTTATTTCATTCACTCAAGGCTCAGAGAGGCCAAACAATGTACCTCAAGCTGTAAGTGTTAGCATTGCTGGGACCAGAACCTGCTGAATCTTTTCTTTTCTTTTTTTTTGAGAGGTTTTTGCTATAGGGTGTGTGCACTCACCAGAAAGACAGAGAGACAGACAGCAAGAAACCACCCATCACCCCCCCAGGGGGAATGGACACACTGCAATCGCTTCTCCTCCATTCTCCTCTCAGAGTCTTGGGCATGCACGCACGTGCGCCCAGCGTGAGTTCAAACCACCGGATCCAGGGCTTGAACCGCAGTCGACTACATGGGAGTTCAGCAATACAGCCATTACACCAACTGCTGGTCCCAAGACTTCTCTTTTATTTATTGGTTCCAGTTCTTAACTATTTTCTATCCCAGCAGGCAACCCCACTTTTAATATCTGGGGCTTCCTCATGTTACTCCTACACCAGAGATCGCGATAAATTCTGGTGATTGGGGGGTGTGCGTGTGTGGGCAGTTAGGAGGTCTGTGGTTGGAGGAGGACCCCAGCCCAGTCACTCCTGCACTCTGCACTCCGATGTAGGAGCCCCCTGCCAAGGAGAAAGCCAGGACACAGCAGCAACACAGGAACAACTGCTGGGACCAAGAACCTCCCCAGTCCTTCTGGGGAGTTTGTTTTGAGCTGTAGTGGGGTGGCAGTCCATTCCTGACCTCTATCTGGAAGCTCATGGCCATTCTTAGATGCTATTGATCATGCTTAAGCATGAGAAGCCAGGGGTCCCTTTTCTGTTCCTGACCAAACCAGGTGCAGTGGGTCAGACTGGAAGTGAGGACTGGAGACCTCCATATGTCTCCAGGGAACTTGGCTTATAGAATGGGTAGGTTGTAAGACCAGCAGTTAGTGTAATGGCTATGTTGCTGGACTCCCATGTGGTCGACTGCAGTTCGAGTCCCAGACCCGGCAGCTTAAACTCACGCCGGGCACATGTGCGTGCATGCCCAAGATCCCAAGAGGAGCATGGAGGAGAAGGGATTGCGGCATGGCCATCCCCCCTGAGGGGTGATTTCTCGCTTTCTGTCTCTCTGTCTCTCTCTGTCTTTCTGGCAAGCGCACGCACCCTATAGCAAAAACCTCTCCAAAAATAAAATAAAAATAAAAATAAAAAAAGAATGCGGTAGGTTGTGGGCCAACACAGTTTCCTTGGGCTATTTTTTCTGAGATTTTCTTTGGACACAGATCTGTTCTAGCCTGGTACTCAGAACCATGGCCCGTAAATGGATGAGACCTAACTGGGTCACTTGCACTCACCTCTCCTCCCCAGCCCTCCCTTCCTTCCTTCCCTTGACAAATCGATCATCATTACAGCAAGTTTCCTGGGATCCATCCAGGACTCACGGACCCACCCCTGGTTCACAAGAAGACCAGCCTAATGGAGTTGGCCGCTCCTGGGCCAACTCCATGGTCATGACTGTCACAGCTTCTCCTGGTGCCCTGCGAGAGTCGAGGGAAAAGCGTTCATTCCAGTGTTGGGGGCAGGGAGAATTTAGAGGTGCCTTGGAAAACGTGATGCCTCATTGGAGACTTGAAGCCTAAGTCATAGAATTATCTAGGCATCGTGGAAAGGAAGGAGAGTTCGTTCAGGAGCCCTGCATGAAAGTGAGGCTGGAGGCAGGAAAGACCTCAGTGCTGGGAGACGCCGACTCACTCTGTATGACTTAGGCGAGCCCCGCAGAGCGTGGGCAGCGAGAAGGAGTGGTGCGTACAGGGCTACGAACACAGCAAAGACCTGGCTCATCTGACTGTTGGCTGCAGCTCATTACTGTTTGCTGATGTACATGAACTGTTTTCACTCCAACTCTTAGAGCTAACCACGTTCAGAAAGGTGAGGGGCCCCAGGTTCCCACAGGTCTCATTCCTAAGCAGGGAGCCCTGTGAACTGCATAGACACCATTCTTTTTCTTTCTTTCTTTTCTTTTCTTTTCTTTTTTTTTTTTTTGAGAGGTTTTTTGCTATAGGGTACATGCGCTTGCCAGAAAGACAGAGAGAGACAGAAAGAAATCACCCCCCTAGGGGGGGATGGCCACACTGCAATCCCTTCTTCTCCATTCTCCTCTTGGGATCTTGGGCACGCACGCACACACGCCCAGCATGAGTTTATGCCACCGGGTCTGGGACTCGAACCGCAGTCGGCTACATGGGAGTCCAGCGACATAGCCATTATGCTAATTGCTGGTCCCAATGGACACCATTCTTCAGACCCTGAGGGGAGGGGGAGGAGCACTGACCGGTGCTGAGCCAGCAGATAGCGTGATTGGTGAGCAGGTGAGTAGAGATCCATGCTGGGGGCTGATCAGGAGGAAGATGCTATGAACCAGGTCATGGTTTTGGAGACAGGGAGGAGTCAAGTGGGCAAATGGATTTGACAGAGGCTGAGGAGGGACCAGCACATATTGGCAACTGGCTGAATGTGGACCAGAGTGAGGGCTTAGTGGCCTGACCACTTTCTGGGATCCTGCCTGCAATGCAGTGGTTCCTTTGTGTCAGCATCTTCCTTGCTGTTTGGGTGTGTGTGTGTGTGTGTGTGTGTGTGTGTGCTCTGCAATGTTCAGGTTCGATTTAAAGATTGCCATAGAAGGGGCTGTCTGGGTCCCGTCCTGAGTGTGACCCAGCTTTGCAGAGTGGGCACTCAGGTTTATCCAAGTACGCAGAATACACTCCCAAGGATCAGACACACAGATGTTAAAGTAGTAGAACTCAAATTTCCAGTTTCCTTTCCTTTTCTTTTCTTTTTTTTTGGAGAGGTTTTCGCTATAGGGTGTGTGCGCTTGCCAGACAGACAGACAGAAACAGAAAGCGAGAAATTATCCCCCAGGGGGGATGGCCACACCGCAATCCTTTCTCCTCCGTTCTCCTCTCGGGATCTTGGACACGCACGCAAACGTGCCCAGC